AACCTGTAGGTTGGCAACCTACAGTTTGATAGGTCTAGACGGTCTAGGTCTACAGTCTACATCACTGGCACCCCTACCCAATAGTTGAGCTGGGTTGGAGTTCCAAAGCCGAAACTCTAGGTTGGGTCAAGCCATGATTGAACCTGTAGGTTGGCAACCTACAGATTGATAGGTCTAGACGGTCTAGGTCTACGGTCTACATCACTGGCACCCCTCCCAACAGTTTAGCTGGGCATCACTGGCACCCCTGCCCAATAGTTGAGCTGGGTTGGAGTTTCAATCCCGTAGGTTGGCAAACTCGCGGCAAAAGAGATACTGCGAAACCGAGTGCAGCCGAAGAGTACCGGAGAGTTCCTTGGTGCCCTGAGGAACCCAAGTGTACAAGTGGCCGAAGACGCACCCAAAGACATCCAACGACTTTGGCGCGGCTCCTGACAGTGGCATGCGCAGTGTCCCATGCGCACTGTGTTTCTCAAGTTTGCTTGATGCTGTCTTAGGATGTTTTTGGTGTTTAGGAGCAGCAATATGCGATGCAGTTAGGGGGCGGGTTGTGGCGGAAACAGGGTGCACAAAGTCTACAAGTGACCACTGGCCACTCAATTACTTCGTTATCCTCGAACTGCCAGCAATAGACTGGTCAGGTTCGCTCTTCAGTTCGAATGCCTTTCGGATGAAAAGCCAGTGTCCACCTTTGGTGTCGTTTTTGTTTCACCTCTGTGCTTGTTTGCAGCGCTACAGTAGCTTCTTGCTAGTAGTAAGGTGCCTTGTTACCAGTAGCTTCCTGCTACCTGAAACATTTTTAACAACCCTCTTTGACATCGAGTTCATGCCCCCAACAATATACTCTGAGCTTCGATGGGCCACCTACTCGACATGGCAAGACTCAGTAAGGCCAGGAGCTACTAGTAGCTTCTTGCTCCTAGTAGCGATGACCTCCAACCTACTTGCGATGGCCTCCACCTAATAGCGTCCTTGCTAATCTGTCTTTGAGGCCCGATCATTACGTTGGAAACTGGAAAAAAGAACAAAGCGTGACAAGGGGCACCTCTGCGCTTTTCAAGAAGATGTAAACCGCACTGTCTGGGGTAAAAACGAAAGGGCGACAGTCTATAGATTCCTCAGCTGAAAGCTTGAGATCGACTGTAGCAACAGCTTGAGGATGCCAGAATTTGTTGAACTCTGCCTTTCCAAAGGGTTTCAGTGAATTGCGACGGTTTCTAGGACGGAGGTGTGCGTTGCCACAGGCGTTTTGGAACTGACGTTTGTCCGTTTTTTCCTATCGGCGCCTGGTTTGCCGTTTTTCTGTTTGGCTCAAACATGCACATCTGTTTGGTTGTGATTTGCGTTCCCTCACGTGGTCAGATGGTGAGGGGTTTCTGCACGGCGTTTTGAGCAAGTGCAAATTTGATTTGTTTTCTGTTGTTTTCAAGGTTTGAATTCTTAAGATGCTAGCTTTCTTTGGCAACACAAACAGGTCATATTTGTGCTGCCCCCATGAGTTCCACTCTGGGCTTCATTGGGAGTTGGATTCAATTGCCAATGGTATGGCTCAGCCTTGCTCCAGCAGGCGGGTAGTGAGCCAACCAGGGAACCATGGTCACAGCAGTGCATGTAAGGTCATGTGTCCCCGAAGCTCTAGGGCGGGCTCGAGAGCTTTCAGTGAGCGTGAAAGAAGCGCGTGAGGTGCGCTGGTTGCTAATTACCGTTCGGTGGTAAACTCGTGGTGCATGGTAGCGGGGGGCTCGTTAACAATACTCCGGCAGGACGATGCCAGAGGACAAGTATTCTGTTCCATCATCGGATGGCTCCCCTTGGGACCTTCGAATCATATGTGACTGCTTGTAAGTGGTACTCCAAGGGGACCAAAGAGAGCGAGAGGAAGCTGTTTGTAGCACGACTATGGAGTAGACTCACTGTTGCTGCGAAGTCGATCGTTAGGTATGCAGACCCTGACAGCTTCTGGCGCTGCTCAGAGAGAGCCCCCTTCAACGATTACCGGTCCTGGACAGCTATTTAGCAGACTGGACAAATGGAGCAATCTCAAGAGGACAGATCGTGAGACGGTGGCTGAACTGATTGTGAGGGAGGAAGAACTGTTCACTGAGCTGCAACAGTCACTGGCACGCGCCCGACTGGATAGGATGTCGGATGACTCCTGGACAGGACTTTCTTACTTCACGATCGGCTCTTCGCGTTGACCCACCGTCGACACGATCGAGGAGCCCAATGTCTGGAAACCGTGCTGGTGAGGACCGAGGCCGAGAGTTTGGCGCTCAGACTTTAACTTTCCCATCAGCTGGACCTGTTCATAGTGGAACTGCACATAGCTCGCCGACAAAGGCAACCGGAGATTTCTTCGAAGATGAGTTGCGAGTCGCGAGGGTCTAGATTGTTGCGAGCATGTCGGCTATCAGGCCCAGAACGACAAAATATTTTGGTTCAGACTGCAAACTCAACGAGTTTTGTGTTGGTGAGACGTGCATTGAGGACGTTGTACAATGATGGTGGTCAGATTGGCCAACATGACAACAACAGGAGAAGAGACAGGCACGGCTTTCCGGAATGCAGAGGATTGGAAGACTGGTGGAATGACGGATGGGCTGGTGACGATGATATCCAGCCTGATGAGACGTCAAGCGTCAAGCGCACTGGATCCTGGGAGCAGAGGAAGGATGCATCAAGATCCTCAAGACATCGGTAGCCAGGCTCATCAAGGACGAGCCAACTTTGTCAGTCGCTCATGCTTTTGCTCTGGCTGCACATGGGGCCAACAAGACCATCGGCCCAAGTGGATTCTCAGCCTTTCAATGGGTCAGAGGAGCAGCAGCTACACCACAAGATCCACTTCCTTCAGAACTTGACCCAAAGCAGGCATTTGGAGGACTACTTCGACTGAAGGAGAAAGCCAGAGTTGCCTAGGAGCAGGAGCGCGCCAAGTACAATGCTCTGGGACGATCTCCACAGTCCTTTCAGCTGGGGCCTTGGTGATGTTATGGCGGCAAAGGATCAAGCCCGGCAAGACGTCTGGCAATTGGGCTGGCCCAGTCAGAGTTCTCCTACAAGAAGGAAGCACCTTGTCGCTAGCGCATGGAGCGACATTGCGCGAGAAGAGCTACAAGCCACCCTTCAAGGAGTTGCCATCTACCGGCAACCAGTGACAATGGACAGTCTTCTCAAAAGCTTCACTGGGAAGCGCTACACGAATTTCACCGGCGAGAGCCCATCAAGAGAACAGATGATGAAGGACCTCGCACCAACAGATGTTCGTCTACTACATGATCCCGGAAAGAAAGAACAAGCAGAAGCAAGGAGGTCAAAGAGCATCCCAGAGGGCAAGCCGGAGAAGGTGCCAGTCAGTGAAGAAGACGATCCAAAAGAGAGGACGCAAACAAGATGAGATGAAGCTGCATGAAGAGCATGAGACTCGGAAGGAAGAAGCCCAAGGAAAAGATGACCCCGAGAAAAAGAAGGAAGCATATGCTCCAGCAGCTATGACGCCGAGAACCCAGGCGCTTGAGTCAGAGGGGAAACCAATTCCACCGATTCCATTTCTCCAGGATCAGCGCAATGATGATCCGGCCGAAACAACGGCCCAATCTTCGAGTGGCAATTGCTCCACTCCACTATGCAAAGCTTCCCGGAGGGCATCATGGACCTCAGGAGGATGACGCGGGAAAGAAACTCGCCATCTCCACTACTGACGGGAGAATCAATTTGGATGATGATCCATCTCTCCAAGATGAAGATCTAAGCTCATCCAGCTCATCGAGCTCAACCTCATCGTCTGAGGAACTGCGAACAGAGACAGAAGAGAGAAGAAGGAAGGCTAAATGACCCCGACGATCCAGAGGGGACAAAAGGAAGGCGGAAGAAGAGCCTGATCGAGGGTAGCGCCATGGAGATTTGAGGTGACCGAAGAAAAATCGGCCTACCTGATGAAGCGCCCACGGAAACCAGGCCTGTTCCTGTCCAAGAAGATGCAAGAGAAAGGAAAGGAGCACACATGGCAGGAGCTGGACATCGAGAAGAAGAAGGACTTCGACCTAGCTCAGGCCAAAGAGATGCCCAATGTCCTGCAGTCCAAGGCGCTGAGACCCTTGACAAAGCAGGAGTGGAAGGGCCTTGATCGAAAGAAGGTGATGCAGATGAGGTGGGTCCTGACCACTAAGCCAAAGCCCGAAGGGGCAGTGGCTTTAAAGCCAGACTGGTCGCCCTCACAACTCAACCCAAGTACAGGACGATGAGCCGCATTTCGCGGAACATGCTGCTACCGCCTTGCAGCAAATCGAGGCTTCAAGCTGCGATCGGGTGATGTGACATCAGCCTTTCTACAGGCCAAGAAGTCATTGGAGGATGAAGACCTTGTGGTATGGGCACCGCCCGAATTCGCAGTCCTATATGGAGCTGACCCGAAGAACCTGTGCACGCGCCCAGGGCTTGGTATGATGAAGTGTCGACCACACTCCAAGCTCAAGGATGGATCAAGATGGTGTCCGACGCCTGCATCTTTGTGCTGAAGGACGGCCAACAGGTCGTCGGCGTGATCGGCGTGCGCGTGGATGATTTCTTGCTGGCAGGGCAAGATGGAAACCCTGTCTTCGACAAAGTAAGAAGCGACCTGGAGCAGTCCTACCTTTGGGGACGATGGGACGAAGGTTTTCATTCACCTTCGCTGGCTGCCAGATCACCCAGAAAGGCAAGGGGGTCAGGATCGGACAATTCGACTATGTGGAAAACTCGGTGGATGAGATCAAGCTGACTGAGGAGAGGGCAGCGCATAAGAAAGCTGTAGCAATTCCCAGTGTGAATCAGCCAGTTGAGAGGTGTGATAGGATCCATGGCATGGCAAGCATCCCAAACAGTGCCCCAGTTCCAGGCCGATGTAGGGTTCCTTCTTTCAGAGGTACCATCTGCGCGAGCAAGCTGTTTCGCGAAGTGCGGATGGCGCCGCGTCACATGGAGCTCACAAAATACGCCTGCCCTTGCTTGGATTCGAGGGGCATCTATGATGCGATGGTGAGAAATGTGAGCTCATTGCACGGGCTCAGGTCTGGAAGGTCGGGCTACGAGTTAGCCATCTCAGTGGCCCAAGCCATCGGGGTCAACGCCAGTCTCCGGTGGGTCAATGGTGACCGACAGCTCGCAGATCCACTCACGAAAGGTGGAGCTGCAAAGAAGCTGATGATGCAGTTCCTGGCCAATGGCCAATGGTGGACTCTGATCCACGACCCGATGTTCGTGTCGGGGCGCAATCTCAAGAAGAAGATGCTCCAGGAGGCCATGGAGAAGCAGTTCACGACAGAGGTTCACCTTTTAGCGACTAAGCATCGCTGGCCATGGCCTGAGAGCGGAAAGGAACATGACCTTAGGATTTTGGGGGATGAGCCAACCAGGGAACCATGGTCACAGAAGTACATGTAAGGTGATGTGGCCCCGAAGCTCTAGGGCGGGCTCGAGAGCTTTCAGTGAGAGTGAAAAAAAACGAGGTGCGCTGTTTGCTAGTTACCGTTCGGTGGTAAACTCGTTGTGCAGGTAGGAAACCTACCACATGGGTTTTCGTGGATCTTTTGGTGCAGATTGCAGATCTGGGTTCGTTCTGCGGGATTCGACTTTCCAGGCAAGTTGGCTATGGATGGTTCAAGAACTCAGGCCCTCTTTGTACAAGATTCACTCAAGCTACTCATGCTGAGGTTGGAGCGGCGTGGACATCAGCCAAAGCCGCGGGAGGAGCCGCTTTGCCTTGTTTTTGTTCTGATTTCGGATTTCGCTCACTCGCGACACAGAATCCAAGGTCACCGCTGCATTTCGGGGCGCAGGAAGTGATACCAAGGCCAGGACAGATGCTATGGGTTCACAGCGCATGTTTTATTTGTTTTTCGATTCTTTGCGCAGGCAGATACAAACTCCCAGGGAGGCCAAACCCGGTTCGGTTGGAAGGGTCGAAGGGCGCCTTGAACTCCTGTTTGCGGGTTCAACCTCCTTCCTGTGAAGGTCGTTGTGATCAGTTTGCAGTCTCGCTCTCCCTCACCCATGAGCCAGACAAGCCACATGAGCCATAGGTGGGGATCATGTATTTTTTGCATATCCATTTGTTTGCATTTTTTGCCCAACCTAATTACCAATGGCCATGGAAGATTCGGTTCCAAGGATTTCAAGGACTTCGAAAATGGCCACGCCAGTGCAGGCAAGGCCACAACCGTCACAAATTGGGTCAGCAAGGCCACGAGCGTCTCAGGTGCGGCGGGAGGTGCGCACAGCACCCTCCACCCCCTCACAGACTCATCGGAGCGTTGTGTCAGGCGGTTCGTTGTGTGAGCGACACACGCGCAGTCATCACAGGAGCAGTGCAGCATATCATTCAACAGGAATTGCTCAGCAGTTGCACGCTGTGCTATGCTGTGAGGTGGAACAGCACAGTCGTGTGCCCAAACTTGATTTTTTCAATGTTCTTCTATTTTTTTCTCACGATGCGGTAGGAACAAATTTTTGGTCGAAGTCGAAGGAAACATTCGGCACTTTGGTAAGGCAGCGACGAGTTGAGACACCACGCAGCTACTTGTCCCAAGGGTGTCAGGTAGAGCTCACAATATTCTTGGGCCTTGTAGTAGTGCATTTCACGATCAAGTTCTTCCTGCACAATTACTTTGCATGGGATATTTTCAGCGCTTCATACTTCCAAGTTGTTGAGATGTGCCAAGGTAGAGTGATTGGGCCTCGGGAGACGACTCTCACGCAGAGGCGATTGAATCGGATCAGAGACGACTCTCAGCAATGTGTTTGATTATCTCTTTTTGCAGGAAACCCTTAGTGCTTCCTGCCTGGCCATCGTTAGCTGCTTGGACTACCTACCAGCCAGGCACAAAGGGAAGCTGGGGGAGCTTGCACACCTAGATTTAACACTGGAGGAGTAGCAGGCTTTTCGCTCGAAAAGCTGCGGTGATCTCATGTCAATTGTTCTAACTCTGTACTCTCATTCAAACTGCAAAATGTGAGTGATCTCTTGCCCTCCCCCTTGCAGCGTTGGGCCTTATGGAAGCCGGCTGCATCTCTTCAAGCTCAAGGCCCTATTCGTTCTTTCATTCATTCATTCAGTCAGCCAGTCAGCCAGCCAGTCAGCCACTCACTCGCTCGCTCGCTTGCTCGCTCGCTCAGTCACTCAGTCAGTCACTCAGTCACTCAGTCACTCACTCACTCAAGATCACTCACTATGGGTAAGCTCAGACTCATAGTGCTCGTGAATCAGGTCGGCATCCTAACCTTTTCTGCTAGCGCTTCAATTGCTCTGTTTGCCTCATGGTTCAACCGTGGAGGCGTTCGGAAGGTTGGAGTTGGGGTCGCCGCTAAGCCTCTCGCTTTCCCCGTTTGCATAGCCCTTGCCACCTTTGCTGCTGCCCCCAAGCTCCCATCTGCTTGGGCCAACGTCGAGTCGATCAGGGGTTGACCAGTCCGTCGTTGTTGCAGGCATCGATGATGACAGAGTAGCGCTTCTGGAGGAGACCTGACCTTCGGCTCCAACAACCGCCATGCCTAGCGCCTGGTACTGCAGGTGGGGCATCGCGATGCCATAATGCACTCCCACGCACCCATTGGATTTCCCAGGAGCATTTATCACCTGTGTCACCACCCATCTCGTGATATCTGGAGATGTAGGGCGCTGGCTGCATCCCATCGCTCCGATGATGGGAGTTGCATGCTGTGCGCCAGTCACTCCTGTGAAATACGGTGGAGGTCTATAGTTTGGGGCATCTCGATCAATCCCTTGAAAGCAGGATGGTGGAGGCTTGGGGGGTTTGCCCTTTCGGGCATCCTTCAATTTTGTATTCTGCTCTCTCTTCTCGTGTAGGACGATTGAGCCAAGCTATCTTCTGAAGGACGTCCCGGGAGTTCACCGTTCAAGTATTTGATGGTGATTCTCCCGATCCCCGAGGAAAGTAGAATGGATGGGATGACATTTCTGGTACCCTTAAGTTGCAGTGCGAAGTGCAGACCGTCCGTCGATTGTCCAGTGATAGGATTGGAGGGGTCGTGCAGGGCGGCCGCTACCAGGGTTCGTGGATTTGCGATGCCTTGCCCTGCATCATCTTCACCATAAGAGCTACACAGGCTATTCAGTGAAGGTGTGGAGATAGGGTCGCCTGCGGCGGGTTTGTTCTGGGCCCTCGCCGATCTTTTTTTTCACTTCCGAGCTTTCTCCTTTCTTCTTTGCTGCCATGGGCTCATTGTGCGCCTTCATGGCAGGTTTCTCAGCAGCCTTGGCAGCCTTGGGAGCTGCTTTTCCCGGGGATTGTTCATTTTCCCCATCTTCCCTTCCCTTCACTCTTCTCAACACTGTTGCGCGACATCAAGCAGTGCGGATCCCTTCACAGGCCTGACGAAGATCAACGTAGCCGCAAGGATTGCCACAGCAGCCTTTCATCCTCAGCTTCATCACGGCGCTGAATGGCTCTCACAGCAGCGGTCTTTTGACCTGGTGACATGCCAATCTGGTTCAGGAAGGTGTCCGAAGCTGCTCCCATCAACGACTTCGTGAAGCCATCCGCAGGAAGTTCACTGCCGCAAGCGTGATGAACATCCACGCACGCAACAGGCCTTAGGCCAGCGCGAAGACGAAGATGACTCTTTGATCGTCAGGTGGATGACCTGGTGATACCTGGTGCATGTCTCCGTTCCGTCCAGTCGCTCTTTGGATAGTTCGTCTCACGATTTCCTATCCGACTTGAAGGAGGCAATGGAGGTCCTGAACTGTGTCCACCAGATTCGCCCGCAAACTTGATGGCGTTCTTCTACGTCGTCTCTGACTCTGACTTCTGACCTCCGGTGATCACCCTGATCGCGACGGATCCCATCACTCGCACTGATTGCCTGCCGACCGTCACGGCCTCCATGTTCATGAACTTCACCTGTCCAGTGCTTCTTCCTCAGCATCTAGATCCAGCAGAATGAACATGTCATGCTGTTCTGGTAGGAGTTCTTCACATTCTCCGCAATCGCACTAGTCTCAGACTCTCTACCATCGGTAGGTCCTCTGGTCGAGCCTGTGTGAGTTCTGCTCGCTCTCGAACATCTTGTGACCAGAACGGGTTCACGCCAGCCATGGGAGCCAACAACCTGTCCAAGCAGGGTGAGCTTTGGTGACGGATCTTCGTGAGCCGCATTGGGCGCATAACCTGGGTGCGGAGTAGTAGGCTTTTCTATGCTCAAAAAGGGTTTGCGGTGACATGATCTCACAGCAACTGTTCTAACTCTGTGCTCCCATGAGCTGCAAAATTAGAGTGATCTCCTGCAAGCACGATTCCAACTAGACTTAGAGCAATGAAGTGACTGCTCATAGGCACTGCCACGGCGATGCAAGTGGAACGGCGAGTGTCCACTGCAACAGCTCCAATACATGTGGAGCGGCGAGTGTCCTCAGCATCAACAAGCTTGGCGTCCGTTGAGCGGCAAGTGTCAACGGCCTCAGCTCCGGTACAAGAGTCAGCTTCCGGGTGCAAAGCCACTTTGCTGAGTCCGACACCAAGCCCCGAAGACTTTCGTGCTTGTTGAGTACGTCCTTTCCATCCACCCCCATTGGTTGACAAAAGGGTTTTGTAGGTCATGGCCGCAGCCTTTCGTCCTCTGGTAGATTCAGCTCAACCTTGGCCTGGTCGCCGCTTGGCAGTTGGTCTCTGAAGGTGTCAAATAATTGTTGCCAGCTTGGAAGATGAAGTTATTTCAAAAGAACATAAAAGGCACCCCCAAAAACATGAATGTACTTGAAGAAAAGAAGAGAGGCCGCAAATTTCAATCGTAGGTGATGGTCACAACAATTTGTTTCTTGAGGCCACGGTCAGTGACGTCCAGCTGTTGCCTTATCACAGCTCTGAACACGCTTTTCGCTGACAGTCCCGCCGACCGTCCCAACCATCCCGACCGCACCGTTTGCTTTCAGGCTTCCACTTGTCTCCACGAGTGCAGACCTACTTGAAGCCCTGCAGCTCCTCGCTTCAGCGGCCTCCAGTGGTGCGGATTGACCTGACTGTGGGGCCCCTGGAAGACCCGTCAATGCTCTCTTTCACGGAAGAACCGCCATTAATTCGAAGTCAAGTCTATAAGTGTTGCTGAACATTGGAGTCAACAAAAAGCATTTTGTGAGGCTTGAAAAGAGATTGCGAGTGCTTCTTCAAGTTTTCACTTCCTTTCGCGCGTGCCTTTTCATAGGCTTTGGCGCCCCAAGCAGGGTCCCTGGAGCTGTGTGAAGTGTTCTTTCGCCTTTGATGCCAACGACCGGAGAATGAGACAACTTTTTCACATTTTCTCAATAATTTCATGGGCGCAGAGCCAAGAGAATAGAACGTAGAACACATGGGGTTCCTTTGCAGGGATGAGCGTGTTGAATCGGGGTGGGCTTGGGGGCTTGACGCGATCAAACAGGTTGCTGTAATCGTCAGGCCGTGGTGCTGCCACAAATCGGCATGCATCATAGAGGCTCCACAGATTTCGCAAGTTAGTTCTAGGCCAAGAACTGGGGCAGGGGCCGAGCAAGAATCCGGCCAGGGCTGGAATTGCGTGGAGAACTTGTCGCAAGCCGCATCTGTGTAGCTTTGGAGGTTGGAGGCCATGGGTAGTAGGTTCGAGGCCATTGCTATAGAAGGTTGAGGCTGTTGCTGGTAGGTTGGAGGCCATCGCTACATTGTTAGTAACTATTAGGTTGGAGGCCATTACTAGTAGGTTGGAGGCCATCGCTGTTGGGATGCAGGCCATTGCTATTAGGTTGGAGCGTCGCTACTGGGTTGTGGAGGCATTGCTACTAGGTTGCAGGCTAGGGCATGGCTAGTAGGTTGGAGGGCCTTTGTTAGGAAGAGTCCATGAGACACCTGTCGATTCAAAAATGGCCCAGAACCTCCACTCAGCGATGAGCTTGGCCATGGAAACGGACAGGGTGGGGAAAATACCGACCTGCAGGTCTGACGGTCTGAAGCGGGAAGAAGCAAATTTGGCCGTGAAAGATGTGTTCAAAAGATTCAAAAGGTTAAAGTCTATATTGACATTTGCTCGGGGCTTGTGTAGAGCAGGCAACGTGTTGTTGAGATAGTTGCCAAAATGACCATGCCATTTTGGCTCAAGCTGGGTCTCTGTGAGACGGCGACCTTGCCGAACTTTGTCGGCTCCTTTGCCTTCCACACCTGCTAAAGCACCTGTTGCTGAGTGGGTGGATGTGCAGACGCAGGAAACTCCTCTGGACGAGGAGATTGTGACTGAGAAGTCTTTCATCATGTTGGAAGAAGTCACTGATGTGGACATGGATTCGGTCCACAGTGGCTCTTGCCACCACAGCGCTCGGTCTCGTGGGCACGGACATCCCCCACACCATGGATTTCCAAGAGACCGAAGAGGTGGACGTGGGCGACCCCCCGCAAGAAGCTCGGAGACGTGGCCTGGTGACGCATCTCACCCCTTCCTGGATTCACCAAGGCAACAGCTGAGGCGGAATCCGCAATGTCAAAGATTCGCGATTGGGATTCATGAGGGTGGCGCTCGTGGCCAGCCCACTCAGATGGCGTGCGTGGCAGAGGGTCTTCCAGCTCTGGTGAGGGAACTTGTTCAAGACCTTCAGCTCATCCTTGACGAGCCCACGTTCGATTGTGGGAGTGTGTGGTAGGCTGGGCTCTATCAACGCCTAACACCTGCCAGACGCATAGGTGTAGGGCAATAGACCGCGACTCGAGACGCGCGAGCCGGCTTATCTCCTTCTATTTTCGCCTGACTTGTTACTACTGTGATGGTTGTGAGATGCGATTTTCTCCCGTATTGTGCTCTCCATTCCATTGATGCAGTCTTTTGCACGCGCTGGGATTTGAACCTTTCCAACGTGTTAGGTCGGGCTTCTGCAAGGTTGCCTGGGCAGCTTTGGGCGGCTGCGGCAGCGATCGAGAGCAACTCAACGCGACTCCCCAGACCTTGTTGGGTTCTCTCCATTTGCGGGGAATGGGAGGTGACCGCTGTGGACAACCCGCCTATGCGTGTCGGGTTCGCGACCTGCTAAACCCTGCCGCCCACCACCGACGAAGACAGGAATGGGCCCTTACTGTCCTTACTCACCTGATGGATGGCCAGGGGGTGGAGGCATCGGCGACGCCTCATTCCTCATGCGAAGGCGATCCCCTTCAGGCAGGATATTTCTTTTGAGGAGACGCCCGATTGACCCGCCTGCTTTGCCTTCTTGTCAAGACAGCGTGTCAGGTAACCTTTGGCCTTTGGTGGGTTCATTCCAGACAACCTGCTGCAGCAGCTGCGCCGTGCACCCTCATCTGCTTGCGAAAATTTATATGCTGTGCCTACTGCTGCAGGATGAGGTGTTGTGTAGAGCCATTTTCAATTCTATTCTACTCAGGAACACGCGCGCGCAGAATTTGTGCCAAACAATGTCTTGTTTCCAAATGATCAACTCATGGGGCTGGACGGAGGAACTGTACCCTCACAGAACCTGAGCCATGCTTATGTGGCACAGAGGTCTCCTCTTCGCTGCCTAGGAGGCTCAGCGGAATTGCCGATAGGTCCAGCGTTTTGAAGTTGCAAATTTGCGCCGGCAACGTCAGGGCACTCCAGCTTGTTTCGCCCAGAGAGACCAAAGTTCAACTTGAGACCCTCTCAAAGGCAGGCCGTTGGGCGTTGTTGTGGTTTTTGTGAAAATGAGCCTTTCGGTGTTGCCACCAAAGCCGATGATGCTTTGATGAACGACACAGGAAGAGGATTCGGACGAGGAGGAGGACAGTGATGATGTGAAGGACTGCATGCAATGAGAAACGGGCCAGACAAGGTGAAAAACTAGAGAACGCCCCGGGAGTGTGGAAGGAATGGTTAAGTTATGTAGAAGTAAGAGCTGTGTATAAATATTAAATTCATCTGAGAGTTCTATAACTGCCTTTGCATGTATGCCACAAGATGCTGCAAGAATATGCGCAGACGTATGTTTCCAGAGTTGTTGCTACTGATGTAGTAAGATGAGACTCATAGACGCTGCCAATCATCCCGCTCCCCGGCGACGCGCCGAATTCACACCAGCATGCTTTCCTTCCACCAACGGCACGGGCTCACGCAAACGCGCTTTCCACCGGGGCAGCCCACAGCCGCTTGGCGCTGCGACATCGCCCTGGGCCACACAGTATGCAAACTGATTAGAGTCAGAGATAACGCTGTAACATTAAGCGTCGTGGGCGCCGCCAATCATCCCGTAGCGGTCCCAGCGACACGCCGAATGTACACCAGCGTGTCTTGGTGTGGACTCACGCAAACGCACTCTGCATCGTGGCCGTTAGCTTGCAGCACATGCCGTGCTGCTCCTAACACGTTCATCCTTTCCCACCTTCACCGTCTGCGCATTTCCCTCCTGGGTGCACACGCACAGTACAGGTGGAGGAGGCTGTGTGTGGAGCGCTGTTTCGTTGCCTTGAGGCAATTCCTAACCACGTCTGATCATTTCAGATTCTTTCATTCATTTACGGCCTGTGGGCACCAGGTGGTTCTTCCTGGGGTAGGCTTGTTTCTCCTTCGCATTTGTCCTTTGAAGGTCACTTGTGAAGTTTCGATTCCTGAAGGTTTCGATATTCTTTGATATATTGAATCCTTGCGGGTTCGATGGAATAGTTATTGAATCCTTGTGGGTTCAAAAGGCGCCGCTGCTACAGACATACATTCATTTCGCCGACTTTAATCACATCCTGCTCTACGTCGTTTTTCACACTTTCAACGACACGATGGTATTATGAACCTCTACTTTTGTAACCCACTACTGAGCAATCCTTGCAACTATCTTTACTTCACTTTCCGTAGTTTTGGTGGTTTTGACCTCTGCCCTAGTACTTCGCTATCCCTACCATGTCAGCGTGGGACAACCGAGCGCTTCTTCGTCGGCGAAATTCCTATGAGGCTTCCCATGCATGTCGAAGATTTTGGGAACTCTTCAGGCTCATCCCTCTTACTTCCAACAATCCCGTGAAGTTCATATCAACCATTGAATACCTCAAAGCATGTCCAGAATTATAGGACCGGATAACCCCACATGGGAACAACTTCGAAAGATTGAAGCTGCAGACATAAAGTGCTGAAGAGTGAGCATGGGGAAGAGACAGGCGAGACAAATAGAATGCGTAAGGGTCGGTGTGTGTAGGTGAGGTGTGCGTTTGATTGTAGGTGCTTGTCCGTGAGTGTGTATGAGTGTGTGGGTGGATGTATGCTGTATGACGCTTGTGTGCATGTAGGTGTCTGTAAGGTGTGTGTTTGTGTGTATGTGTCTGTTCATCAGTGTGTATCTGTGTGTATCCGTTTGTGTGTATCTCGTCAGAGAGTTGGTCGTCGGAGACGAACTGGTCCAAGTGTCCCAAGGGGTCGGATGTACGCCCTGGCGTCGGCTGGGCACTGGCACTCTGCCGGTAGCATTTGCGTGCTGTGTGCGGCGCTTGCTGCTTGCCGAGGGGTCGGATGTACGCCCGGCGTCGGCTGGGCACCGGCGCTTGATGTGCAGATTTCGTGGCAGGCGCAGCGCTTCGTGAACCTTCATGCGCAGATTTCGTGGCAGGCGCAGTACTTTGTGAACCTCCGTGTGCAGATCTCGTGGCAGGCACAGCACTTTGTGAACCTCCATGTGCAGATTTCGTGGCAGGCACAGCATGTGTGGAGCTGGAAGCTGAGAACTGGCGACTTTGTAGTGCAACTTTAGTACGCGGAGCAATCTGGTGCCCAGGGGTCGGATGTACGCCGGCAGAGCGCCGGCTGGGCAGCGGCGCTCTGCCGGTGGCCTTTGCGTGCTGTGTGCGGCGCTGGCTGCTTGCCAAGGGGCTGGGCACAGGCGCGCTGCCGGTAGCGTTTGCGTGCTGTG